TGAGCCTCTGCCCCGGCCCTGCTCCACACGCGGGGTCGGAGCCGGTGGAGGGGACGGGGGGGATCGGCGGGGTTCCGGGCCAAGCCTCCAGGGCGGCCGGGTCGGGGGTTTCCCCATGCGGTCTCCGAAGGCTGGAAGAGCTTCCCAAGGGACGAGCAGGTGCTTTGTGTCACGGCTTATTCAAGCCAACCTCTAGCAGGGAGGCTCACGCAACGCTGTTTCACCCCTTACCGCGGCGGCAAGGGGGCCCAGCACCCGGTGGGACACGGCCAGCAAGAGACGCCATGCCGCTGCTGCAGAGCAGCCCAGCACCTCTCTCGACACCAGCTTGGCCTCCCGCGCGTGGCCCTCTGGAGATGGGAGCTGAAGATTGTGGCCCTCCCCGCAGCGCAGCAGGGTCAGGTTGCTGTTTGCAGGTGAAGCTGGCCAGGGTCAGCCCTGGCATTGGCAGCTCTCAGGGGTGTCAGGATGGGCTGAGGCTGTTGGGCAGCACAGGCGGCCAGCACAGAGCTGGGTGGGTGCAGGCAGCGCCCAAGCTGGGGCCATGGAACCAGCCATGCCTGGGGCAAACCTGAGCTATGGTTACCAACAGCTCCCCTGTGGCAGAGTTTTGATTGAAATACAGACAGCGGGGGAGGCCTGGTTTGCATGGACATTTCTGGAGTCAAACATTTCATCTTTCCCCCTACAATTCTTTGTTGACCTAAAAACCACCAGTAAAATAACTGGAAGTTGGAAGAGGTGGTTTCATTCTGGGCTGAACAAAATGCTCCAGGTTTGTACAAATTACCTCCCCCTGCAGCGACACCAGCCTCTCCCTCTCAGCTTGGCACATGTGCTCGGCTCTTCGGCTGCCAGATCTGAAACATCCCTGATCTAGACTGGACATCCATTGTTTTGGGAGATGGAGCATGTGGAGTGCTGGGCTGTTTGGCTCGGTGGAAGTCACGCGTCCCACCTTCTCATCCTCCAGCAAATGCCCCCTGCTCCGCCCTGTGTGAGCCGCTCCGATAGCTCACTCAATGCTCCTCAATGCGGGAGATGTAAACCTTTTTGCTAGCGCCCTCCAGCAGCCTGAGGGAATAATGGGTGCTGCCAGTTATTAACTAAATACTCGCGGGAGGATAGTTGGGCTTTTGCAAGCCTGTCTCAGCCTTCTCTGTTTTCAAGCCTCTCTCCGGCCTTCCCATCCTCCACGGTTGGAGGTGGTCCCTTCCCCACCAAAGCAGCTCCTCCAAGGCCAGGAGCTTTGTGCATCCTGCAGACCCCTCCACCCCTTTGCCTGGCGCAGCATTGACAGACACCCTTGAAATGCAACACCCCAGGGAGTGTGGGCAGAGACGCCGCTGTGCCAGGAGGTCTCAGCAGATGCTGTCCCCTGTTGTCAGATACATGGGTGACAGCAGCGCTGAAGACAAAGCTCTACTTCCTGCTTCCTGGGTTTTCAAGACCCTGGTGGCCCCAGACTGACCCAGACTCTACTACCCTTGTGTTTCTGGCAAACCAAAACCAATCAATCAGCTCCGTCATCTGCAGGCAGCTGAATCCTGGCGACTGTGAGCACAGCCTTTGCATGCCTGGGAATCAAGCTGGGGAAATGCAGAGACGATGCCACCTCCACAGAGGGGACAGAGGCTCCTCGGTGGCATCCTCCCAGCCCTGACAGGCGCCACTGGCTGTAAGGGCATCCCAAGCACTGTTAGAGACAAGTGACATCAGCAATATTCCCTTGCTGGACCAAACCTACACATAACACTGACATCATGCTGCATGCTCAGAGCTACCCTGCAGCGGGCACCAGCTGCCTTAGGGCAGGGTCTGACAACCGACAAGGTGCCCAGCTGCACAGCCACCTTTCAACACCTGTTAGCACATCTCTGCACCCACGCTGTTTTTCCCTTTAACACCAAAAATAACTTCATTACAGTTTTAACAGATACTATGCTTGAAGCCCAAGGAAGACCACAAGAAATTTCCCTGCCAGTTCCACACCAGAACACACTTGCTCCTCTCCTCATGACGAGGTTGGGCCAGGGAATATCTCGCTCCTTCCTGACAGGGACTGGCTTCTTTTTGCTGAAAGCCAAAGCGATGTTCCTCCAAATCCACAGCCAGCAGTGACCTTCACAGAGCCTGCGGGCAGTACAGCCTCTTCTCTGCACCATTGCACAGACCCCGTAAGGGTGCAGCCTCCTGGTGGAACCATGTCCTGGCAGCTGTGGCTCCCACAGCTCAGCTTTCCAGAGCAGAAAAGACCTTTTTCTCCTCGAGTTGCTGCTCCATGGCAGGACAGACTCCCCAGCCATTGTTTTAGTCCCCTGCCCTTCCAGGAGAGGAGGGCGCAGAGCAAGCATGCTCCGTGTGCCAATGCAAACACTGCTGATCAGTGCTGCCCAAGCCCCTGTTCCCCCCACTGCAGCCCATACCCATCAGCTGCTGCTCTTTGGGCCTCCTAGCACTCAACTTCATGCCCTGCTAGACCATCACTGTGTCAAATCTCTCAAGTCTCTGCAAAAACCCCTTGCTTATACAGTGCTCATCATTGCAAGATGCTCAGCTCCTTTCTACAGGCTGCCACATCCCCTTGAGCTTCTCAAAATTAACCTCATTTCTTCAGAGGCAGATGCCACAGCTGTAGTTCTCTTGGTGATCAGCACAGGGGATACCTGCTCCTAGCCACTGAGGCATCCCTTAAAATGGAAACCTTAAGAGATTAAAAGCTTGCAGCTGAACAACTGCAATCACTAATTTATTTACCAGGAGCCTTGAGGAGATCCAGAGACCAATGTCTCTTCTATGTGGTCATGATCCTTCTCAGCTCAGGTTCTGCCTCAGCTTCCAGCTACGAGAACTGTAGAAAGCTGCAAAGATCAAGAAACTCAGCTGGAGGGCTGGTGGGCAAGGAAGGCACAAAGCAAAGGGGCAGGTAAGCGACTCTCCAGCTCTGTGCTCTCTCACTGCACATTTCACAGCAGTGCTTGAAGTTCTGCTCTGGATCAAGCTGGGGACACGACTGCCTGTCACAGGGCCAGGGTGGCTGCTGGAGGAGCAGAACAGCTTACACAGAGGCAGCGCTTGGCTTAACCTGCTTAATTACCCGTTAAAGAATGGATCTAAGCATTAGCTACTACTTCCACTACAGATGCTCCAGCCCCTTCTAAAAGCGCAGGACTCAAGCCCGTGGCACCAGAGGCTGGAGAATCCCAAAGAGCTGCTGGCTTAGATATTTACCAAAAAAATCAAACTCTTAAAGGAATTCTGCACTCCCACTGGTTTACAAAGCTTCAAAGACCAGAGGATACAGAAGCTGCACAGTGGATTATCCAGGTGATATTTATTAGAGCTTTTCAAGTATACAATGATTTTACTGATGGCTGTGAGCAGCTAAGATGCAAACAGATGCCAGTAGGAAAGGGTGACCTAGGACTAGCAGGCTATGCAATTCTTGTGGGAAATTAATGCTTTCAGCTGAAAGAAGAGGCAAAGAAAGTATCAGACCAAAAGACTGAGCAAGTTTGGGGATGGGGAAGAGAAGATACAGAAGTTTTTATTTGAGATCACTTACTTAAATTGGCAATTAGCAAGTAGCAGAAGCTGCCTGCTATTGCACTCTTCCCTTGGCATCCCAAGGACCTGAAATAGCTGCGGGGGGGAGGGGTTTCCACCCAGAGCCGGCAGCATTTTCCCCAGTCAGAGCGGAGGCCTGCCCTGGTGGGCAGTTCTGGAGCCCCAGCTCAGCACATAGAGACTCTTAGATCCCTGGCTTTGCATACTCACACGTGAGAACCAGGCTGTTGGAATTCCACCAGCGAGGAAGCAATGTAGACTTTCAGCAAGAGCACACTTAAAAACAATCTGCTCCTCACTATAAGGCAGCTTTAGGTCAGGACTCTTTTTGGGTGCCTGAGAGGTTGTGTAGAAAAGCAAGGACCCACATGGCAGCAAGACTACAAGCTCCTCTGATGATAACAAGGACTGTGCATGTTTCCCAAGAACTCTTTCTGAAAGACACGTCCTTAAAAATATCTTAAAGCAGAGGCTCCCCCACTGATGCGTGAAAAGGGCATGACCAAGAGGAGCTGAGCTATGGAGTGATCAACTCATAAACACACCTCACAAGCCAAAGGCTGCATACTTCGCCTGACTTGCGAGTTAGGAATTCTGCATTTAATTAGTAGCTGCCTCAGCTATGTCTGAGTCTCCTGCATTTACTAACAAGGAGCAGTTGAATTCAAGAGCTTAAAAAAAAAAAGGAAAGAATTTAAATGCTTAACATTTCAAAGGGTATCTCCAGCACAACTGCCCTTCAAGGCTACTGTGCTCTGAGGTATGCAATGGCAACCTAGTAGTCAGGCTAGCAGAATGGAGCGGAGCTGCCAAGCCTTCTGCATGCGCCCTCGTTAACCAAATGAATCGCGATTCTTTCTAACAAAATTGCTTAAAAATTCATCTTCAGCAAAGACTATTTTTAAAAATTCCAGTCAACAACTGATTTGCAAGTGTCCTGGTTTCGGCTGGGATAGAGCTAATTTTCTTCATAGTAGCTAGCATAGTGCTGTGTTTTGGATTTAGTACCAGAAGAATGTTGATAACACACTGATGTTTTCAGCTGTTGCCAAGTAGTGCTCAGACTACTCAAGGACTTTTTGAGCTTCTCCTGCTTGCCCAGGTGCATAACAAGCTGGGAGTACAGCACAGCTAGCACAGCTAACCCAAACTGACCAAAGAGCTATTCCATACCATAGAACGTCATGCT